GGGGGGGACAGAAAGAAACAGACAGGAAAGGAAGCAGTGGGAGGACACCACGGAGAGATGGAGGGGGGAGAGGGCAGGCGGAAGAGAGAAAGGCAGAGAGATGAGGGTCTGGCACCAGGGCACCCCGTGCCCCATTCACATGCACCAGGGACGGGCGCCACCAGTCAGCCTGGGCCGAGCTGCCGGCACACCCCGCTGCCCTGCTGTGCTTCATCCCGGTGACCTGCAGGCTGACAGGGCAGCAGGGGCCCTCTGAGGGGCGCGGCTCTCTCCAAATCCCTGTCCTCCCCCCACCCCAGAGGAAACAGGCTCGCAAGCCGGGTCACCCTGCCTACCTCGGACCTCCATGCGGATGCTGCTCTCAATGCCGTCAGCCACGAACTTCAGCTGTGCCCCGTGCAGGCTGGCGGTCACCTCACGGATGGTGAGCGTGTGTCGGGTGCAGTCACGGCGGATCAGGTACACGCTGCTGGCCTTCAGGGCCTGCCCATTCAAGAACCACTTGCCCGCTGAGGCCACCGTGAGGTCCACAGAGAAGGTGACCTCACCACCCTCCACCGCCTCCACCGCCTTCAGGGGCGTCCTCACGGCCAGCTGAGGAGCTGCAGGAGTGACCAGCATCAAGAAGGAGCTGGGGCCAAGGACAGCTCCCAGTTTCTTCCTCTAAAGCCCACACCCAAATGTCGTCTCCACCAGGAAGCCCAGCCAGTGCACACACAGTAATCATTGCACAAACCAGGCTCACCATGGATTGGGGACAAGTTACAGCCACCCTGAGATCCTCTCCGGAATCTCACAAACCCTGCCACGGTGGGGCAGCTCTAAAGCCCGGTCCCCCGGGACTGCTGAGTCCTGTCTCAAGGCTCCTGTCCTTCCCACTGAGGAGGCTCCACTGGCTACAGAACCCTGGTAGCCCCCCACCTCTGTGAAGAGGCTCCATGAGGTCGCTCTGGCCTCACGAGGCTGGGCTACACTTCTGGGCCTGGGTTTTCACAGGCAGGCAGGTGCCATTACCAGGAGTCTTCCCTTACCCAAATGAACTGTCCCTGGGAACTCCAGGTAGGGACTCTGGCCAAAGCTGTTGATAGCTGACACCCGAAACTGAAAGTCCCCTTCCTCGGCCCCGCCAGCCACCGTCAGCTCTGGCTTGGCCACCCACTGAGCCTCGTGGCATCGGCTCCAGGTGTAGGTGCCCAGCCGCTTCTTCTCCACCAGGTAGCCGTCGATGGTGACAGGGCGGTCCCCGTGGGGTGGCGGGAACCAGCCAAGGGTCACAGAGCTCTCCGTTTTGGCCTTCACCACAGGGTCCACAGGGGGTTGCAGGGGCGGCCTCCTGGGGGCTGGGCGGAGGGTGAACCGAGGTCAGCGCTGAATCTGC